GCACGCACGTGGGAGTGCGTGGGGCAGAGGGGCTGAAAACAATGGCATGAAGGTCAAACCCATCACATTCAGAGACGGTGGAATGAAACCCACCAGCACAGGCCCTTTGTCACAGGGACTTCCGGTGCCACCGACGGGGCTGGAACTCCCCTCCCCCCATGGGTCCATAGCGAGGGTGGCTGAATAAATTAAAAGCCTTCATCCTGCCCAGGATCTGAAGTCATTAAAACTCGACATGGGGCTGCTTCCCTCCAATACACAGTGACCTGATGTAAACTACACCCCTGGGGGATGAATGAGCTCCGGCAGGTGACGCACGAGCCATTGCTCGGGAGCTGCTGGCTGGACACGGTGTTCCCAGGGGACCTCGGCTGCCTGGGAGGTGAGGGCAGGGGGAGGGCTCAGGACTGAGGCTGGAGCCACTTCTCTCCTGACTGCGGGCAGATCTGAGTCATTTCCATTTCCCCTTCCTTGGAGGAGGGGAGTCGAGGGCGATTTCCTTGATTATTAGCAAAATTAGACTAAAAAGGCAGGTGAAGGATGCCAGGAGGAGTTCTTTTGTTTTGCTTTCTGAACTCCGTCCTCCTAAAAGCAGAACCTCCCACAGAACTCGATGTCACAAATCCCCTCCGAGGCTGAGTCCCGGCCTGGGAGACTGACTCCTGTCACTGGCTGACTCGGCCCCACGCCACCACCTGGGAGAAGTGTCCGGGGCAGTGCCCGCCCTGGCTCCGCGGTGAGGCCTCAGGCCAGTGGCTGGGCTGGTGAGAAACGCAGGGTCCCAGGCACAGCCCAGTCCGGCTGCCCACACCCTGCCCGACAGACCAGGGGGTTCGTGCGCTCACTGCTTGGGAAGTGATGAACTAGGCCATACACGCATGTATGTACAGACCTTCCTGACCAAGTCACACGTCTAACCAAGACAGACTCACGCCGAGGTCCCAGAGAGGCTTGTGAAATAAAAGGACAGAGCCCTCTGTACCCGACATAACGCACAGCCTCCTTCTGGGGTGAGGCTGGCATCCCTGACACCATCTGCAAGGCCTCAGGGAAACCAGTCACCCGCCCAGCTGGCGGCCGGGACCCAGAGCCAGCGGTTCTGTGTTTAGCCTGACGGCGATAATCCAGCCTATTTCCTATGAAATATCCCCACCTCGCCCCTGGCACCCGAGACTAGAACAAAACTAACACACACTCAGAGCGGAACGGTCTGAAGTCTCCTCTCCCTCATCTAATGAAACTGGAACGGACAGAGCACTCACTGTGCTGACCTCGTGTGAAGTTATGCCGAGGCTACCAGGACATGTGGGGAGAATTAGCGAGCGGTTCAGAGAAAGCCCAGCCAAGACACAGCAAGACCACGAGGGGAGAACAAGAAGGAAATGCAGAGCTGCCGCGCCAGGTGCGGGGGAGCCCTGGTGGGTGCATCACACACACTGCCTGCAACCGCAACAAGCAACACAGGATGGACGGGAGGGGTCGCAGCAAGGCGCAGCCTGGATCCACCGGAGAGCAAGTCCGCAGGCAAAGGCGGAATGAGCCAAAAGGAGCAGCACAACCTGCTACTCAGAACTGGGGGGTTGGGGTGGGGGTCGGCTGCCTGGGAGGTGAGGGCAGGGGGAGGGCTCAGGACTGAGGCTGGAGCCACTTCTCTCCTGACTGCGGGCAGATCTGAGTCATTTCCATCTCCCCTTCCTTGGAGGAGGGGAGTCGAGGGTGATTTCCTTGATTATTAGCAAAATTAGACTAAAAAGGCAGGTGAAGGATGCCAGGAGGAGTTCTTTTGTTTTGCTTTCTGAACTCCGTCCTCCTAAAAGCAGAACCTCCCACAGAACTCGATGTCACAAATCCCCTCCGAGGCTGAGTCCCGGCCTGGGAGACTGACTCCTGTCACTGGCTGACTCGGCCCCACGCCACCACCTGGGAGAAGTGTCCGGGGCAGTGCCCGCCCTGGCTCCGCGGTGAGGCCTCAGGCCAGTGGCTGGGCTGGTGAGAAACGCAGGGTCCCAGGCACAGCCCAGTCCGGCTGCCCACACCCTGCCCGACAGACCAGGGGGTTCGTGCGCTCACTGCTTGGGGAAGTGATGACTAGGCCATACACGCATGTATGTACAGACCTTCCTGACCAAGTCACACGTCTAACCAAGACAGACTCACGCCGAGGTCCCAGAGAGGCTCGTGAAATAAAAACCTGGTCTGGACCAGGCTTGGGACAGAGCCCTCTGTACCCGACATAACGCACAGCCTCCTTCTGGGGTGAGGCTGGCATCCCTGACACCATCTGCAAGGCCTCAGGGAAACCAGTCACCCGCCCAGCTGGCGGCCGGGACCCGGAGCCAGCGGTTCTGTGTTTAGCCTGACGGCGATAATCCAGCCTATTTCCTATGAAATATCCCCACCTCGCCCCTGGCACCCGAGACTAGAACAAAACTAACACACACTCAGAGCGGAACGGTCTGAAGTCTCCTCTCCCTCATCTAATGAAACTGGAACGGACAGAGCACTCACTGTGCTGACCTCGTGTGAAGTTATGCCGAGGCTACCAGGACATGTGGGGAGAATTAGCGAGCGGTTCAGAGAAAGCCCAGCCAAGACACAGCAAGACCACGAGGGGAGAACAAGAAGGAAATGCAGAGCTGCCGCGCCAGGTGCGGGGGAGCCCTGGTGGGTGCATCACACACACTGCCTGCAACCGCAACAAGCAACACAGGATGGACGGGAGGGGTCGCAGCAAGGCGCAGCCTGGATCCACCGGAGAGCAAGTCCGCAGGCAAAGGCGGAATGAGCCAAAAGGAGCAGCACAACCTGCTACTCAGAACTGGGGGGTTGGG